CCCCTTATTCGCAGCGTCCACGGCCTCGGCGGGTAACCCGAACTGGCTCATGAGGGGGCCCAGCTGTCCCGAGGCCAAGGCAGCACTGAACATGCTCAATGCCTGTGAATTGAATCAACAGTGTCACAAACAAGTCTGCAGCCTGCTTCTCCAGCAGCAGGTGGCTCCTGAGGAAAGCACCCGCGTGAGGAGAGCGGGACCCGCCGGCCGGGTCAGTGCAGGGACACCCCCAATCTTCACCCAGATGCAGAAACTCCACCAAATAACCCCCATGAAAACACGGCTCACTGCCCAGCCCTGCCTGCACAGAACTGCTGCCACAACTCCAGCGAAAATTAGTCTTACAGAATCATTAAGGCTGGAAAAGATCTCTGGGCTCATCAAGTCCAACCACCAACCCAACAATACCATGACCACTAAACCATGTCCCCAGGTGCCCACTCTACATGTTCTGTGAACCCCTCCAGGGCTGGGGACTCCAGCACCTCCCTGGGCAGCCTGGGCCAAAGAAATTCTTCCTAATATCCAGTCTAAACCTCCCCTAGGGCAACTTCAGCCCGTTTCCTCTCATTCTATCACTGGTTCCTTGGGAAAAGAGACCAACCTCCCCCTCACTGCAGCCTCCTGTCAGGGAGCTGTGGAGAGACAGGTCTCCCCTCAGCCTCTTCTCCAGACTGAACACCCCCAGCTCCCTCAGCTGCTCCTCACAGGACATGTTCCCCAGACCCCTCTCCAGCCCCATTGCCCATCTCTGGACCTGCCACTGAAGTGACAGTCTTAGCCACTGAAATTTTGCAAACTGACTATTTTCAGTGTAACTGGATCAAACTGGCCTGGAATGCACCAGCTGTAACCACAGACAGACAGTCCTGGTGTTAAGTTCCAGTGTTTCAGAAGAACCAAGGGCTGTAGTGCTGTAACCAGGAGCATCTCTTCCCTTCAGTCACTTGGAATGACCTTTTAGGAGACTGCTGACAAGCCACTCTTTGACAGGGAATAATGATTTTGCTACTACTGCTGTCAGTTGCCAGAGAGTGTTTATAACAGAGAAAAATGAAGCCCAGTTCCAAAAGGAAAAGCAAAAAATGCTCTGATCTTCCCTTGGGTGAGTGCAGGAAGGCAGAACTAGAGCTTCATTAAACCATCCCACTCCTCCTCTCCACTTCTACCGAGCACCCTCCTACTCTGCAGAGTGTCAGGAACCCACAAAAGCAGCAGGAGGTGAAGGGATGGGGAGAACTGCACCTCCCACGACAGGTCCTCAGCTACCTGCTGAAACTGAGGAGACGTCAGGGTGTTCTGGATCTCTTCTGCGGTCTGGGGCAGAGACTCCCCTGAAGGGAGGTAAGGCATCAGCCGCTCCTGAACCTCAGCATTGGCCAGGATGGGAGCCATTATCTCAGGAGTCAGAACAGCTGCCAGGTCCACTGGGAAGGAAATAAAAGGGTTGGCTGTAAGACAAGGCAGGGAACTCCATGTTTTTGTTATATAAATCATGTGGTCTGAGTGAGTACTGAAACACAGGGAGGACACTGCTAACATCCTCCCTCTCTCAGCTCTGGAGTGAGAACAACACTCTTGAAGTGGCCAGAAACAAAACAAAAAAACGAAAAACAAACACCAAACAAAACAACAAAAAGGAACAGAAGAGGAACAGGCCAGGCCAGCAAAACAGCTCCAAAGGACTCGGGGATCCCAGAGGCAGGCCAGAGCACCGTTACCTTGCTGCCCTCCCGCTCCAGAGGGCACGTTCATGGTGGCCAGGATGTTCTGGAGGTCGCTGAGCTGGATGGGCTGGGTGGGGCTGGCGGCAGAGCTGGTCCCGTTGCCCGAGCTGGGCGCGGGGCTGGGGCTGGTGCCGGGCGCGG